TCGGCTTTGCCAGAAAACGTTGCGAAGACATTGTTGAAGGCATGAGCAGTAACGAGTGGATCAGCTCTGAAAGAAGCGTTGAATGCCGTCCCTTGTAGAGGTTTGGGAGGAATTCCCCGTAATTTATTAATCAATGACTAGGATTTAGCAGGATTGGTTCGAGATTACAACATTCTTTCTACGAAAGTAAAGACGCTTTGCTGAAGGAATCAGGGCGCTTACACTGTTCCGAATAGTTCTGAAGTCACCTAGTGATCGACATATTTTCCAAGCTATTTCTCTAAGCTTTATGGCAGATAGTATATCCTTATTTAACCATTGTGGACTTTTTTTTTTGGTTTATGAAGATACTTTTTTTAAATCTCTCATAGAACTGATTAAATAGCTCAACGAACAAGAGGTAGATGTCCGAGTGCGCTTGTGCAAAAGCCAGACAGTCGTAGGTGGACATATACTTATCAAGCTTTTTCGATTATCTGTAATTTCAACTTGATGCACTTTATTGTGCTTTCTTTCGATGTAACACTAGGAAATTATATGTTTCATGCCGCAAAGAATTGTCTGATATTTCTTTTTTTCAGTTTTAACTGCTGCGTTTGCATTTGGAAATGACGACATTAAATTATTATGATCTATCGAGGAGATGACCAAATTTCCTAGGAACAGTTCCTCCGTTGTAGGACCAAAAATTGCCGGGTCGATGCCATGATCTGACAAGAGATCTTCGCAGACAAGGGGCTTGGAAGACTTCAGTAAATCAATTTTAAAATATCCTACTATACAAAGCACTGCTTTATCCGACAAAGAAAAAAACAGACACTCTCGGCGCTCGGCGAAAAATTCGGAAGCTTTTCTAGAGGGGGTCGATGAAAACCCAGCAAGCATAGATCAGAAACGAATATAAGTACACAAAATGCGATTCTCGCGCCGTGCCTTTCGTCGCGAGTGTAAAAAAAAATGACTTTGAATTCGGGCAAGGCAAATTGGTCTGTACTCTCATCGGAAATGTTGATTTCTGTTAGAACCAATCCGTCAGTCATTGGAAACACAGAGTAAATAGCCAGCTGGAAATCGTCCCAGTGCTTCCGAATGCTACGGATATTAAGATGAAATGAAGTGAATGTAGATGCGCTTGACGCGAAGACTCTTAGGCAACATTGAAGGTTGTTAAGCAGAAAGAAGCTAGCCGTTTGTGTCTAGACAATTAGCTCAAAAGCTTCAATATTAGTGATATAAAGTATCGCGGATCGCTGGCTTTGTTTTGCGAAAATGTTGCCATGTCGAACCTATATAAACTCAAAGTCCTTTTTTTTTTATCTAGTTCGGGCCATCAAGAATATTTTCCTGTTGGAACCTCTGAGGTTATCATTGAAATATATTCGAGGATGAGCACCGTCACTAGATAGGGGGCCGAGCTTCCCACGGGTGACATGCAGCGATCTTTCAGAGCAACAGACGTGAACCTAACCATGATGGGTGTTACTGCAGCATAATAATAATAATAATAATGTTTTTTTACGTGTTCAAGAATAGGCAGCAGCCTTTTTGTTGAAACACTAGGAAAACACTGAGACAAAGAATAAACAAGAGAGGGAAATCAAGGCATAAAAAGTGACGCGAAGACAATAAGACAAATTAAGTGAAGACAAACATTAATGCAGATAAAAACACATGCAGTCAATGCACAGAAGTACATATACCAATTCGCTACAGGAAAAACCGTGGCGAAAAATAAAATCAAGAGCATCATGAATTGCGTTACAATAGCCTTAATGACACGCGAAGACCTGAAATTCTGTCGTTGAAAATGTCTAGTTCTTTCGGCGAAGTCATTGCATTTCAGTTGCTTGCGGGTAACACCTAGGGTTCAATATATTTGTCACAGGGGAATACAATGCGCTGCTAGGCACAGTACTGTAGTGGTGCACACGCAACAAAATAGAGGATAAAATCTCAGGAGAATCAATCTTGCCGTGTAAACATTTGAACAAATAAAATATCAGCAAAGAGCCTGCAGTGATACAAAGTTTCGATATTGTAGTAGCTACAGACACTGGAATGGCTGCATGGCTCGTTTTGCAAGTACCTGTAGTTAAGAATGTAGGTGAATCTAATTTTAACGCGGTCAAGTAACGCTTCATTTGATCTCGCCAACCCGTTCCAGACTACAGATAAATATTCCAAGCGCGATCGGCCAACACTTTTAAAGAGTATGATAAATACAAAAGGTGCAAGATTTCACTCGCTATACGGCTGGTCACTCCTAACGTTCTCATAGCAGTAAGAAATGTCTCTACATAAGAGAGAAACTTTGGATATGAGTCACCCAAATCTCGAATTGTTTCATTACGCGCTATTCTCTCGCACTCATTTTTGCAGGGGAACATAATTTGTCCCGTTCTGCGACGGTAGGTAACAACTTTCGTTTTGGTTCTATATATTGAGCACTAAAGTAGTGACCGAGCACCAGTTTCCACTTCTGTCTGTATCTCACTGCAGCTCGTGGGAGTCCTTCTCTGACTGGACTTCTAAAAAAATCTTCATGTCATCCGCAAACTGAATAAGGGATGAGTAGGATGGGCATGACTGTACATCACTGACAAACAATGAGAACAATACGGGCCTCAGAACCGAGCCCTGGGGGACACCAGAAGTGGTATGATATGAAGAAGAGTACACACCTTCAATTCTAACTGCATTCTCGCGGCTTCTTGGGTAACAAGAAAACCAATCAAGCATTGATCTTCTCACTCTCATTCGCTGTAATTTGTTCAAGAGAAGATTATGTTCTACATAATCGAGTGCCTTGCTCGCTGCGTGTCGGCGTATATTTTCGCCTTCATCCGCCTGCTACGCCGCCCCGTCTAAAAAAAATCTGGAACGTTGGCAAGACTCGACCATAAAAGCTGCGTTTTAGTGTTTCATCATGTATGAGCGACGGTCCAATATTGCCGCGCGCCCAGCTGGCCAAGAAGGCAGCGCGGCCATGGCCTCAGGGTTACCGTGCTTGCCTCCCACGCGAAGAGCCATGGTTCGATTCCTGGGGGCAACGTGTCTTTTATTTATTATTTCTAGTTGTCAATCTCGCAAGTTCGAGAACTTTCTCGTTTCACTGAGTTACGAATGTTCTACGCGCCGAGCGTTCTAGGCCGGATGTTCCAGAAACCCACGCCGGTATAAAAAGTGCTCCGCGTGGCAAGCCGGGGTCAGTCTCGCCCCAGCGTTTGATCCTGCTGTTATACCGACTTCGACACCCGCGACGCTCTGTTGTTATTTCCTGCTCACGTTTTGTTTTGGGCAGTAGTTTGCCCTATTAAACGTCTCAGGTTCCTCAATTATTCTTTCTTTTGTCACCCCGTCATTCGTGACAATGTAAGCGTCTGTCAGCGTCTGTCGATGTGCGTAAAAAGAGACCGAGAGGACAGAGAAACGCAACAAAATAAAAGTAGAGTCATTTCAGCTTTTATCTTCTTGTTATTTTCTTTACATGGCATACGTGAGCAAATGACTCATAATTGACCTAAACATGACCTAAAAATATTTGCTTTGTCAGGCCATGTGCACCGCAAAAGCTGGGCCTACTTACATTTCGAAGCGAATTGGCGAGAACATACCTCGACTAACTTGATGTGAGCCAAACGCCCCATTGCCTCCAGCCAAAGGGTTTGCAAATTCTTACATCTGAAGCTATTTTTTCGGTATTGAAACCATGTTTCCAATCTTGACGGTTGCACAATTCACAGTGCAGCGGGGCCACCTACGGGAACCAACACCTTTATTCTGCATCAACACGCGTAAATGATCAAATCAAGCCATCATTATAATGCAATGCAATGCAAATATGCAAGCGAGCTGAACGAGAATGACGAAAATAAACCCTGGAGAAGGGGAACAAGAGAGACAAAGGACAAACACAAATCACCAAACAGAGCTAGGTGACGGGTGCGCGACCGAAAAAATCCGCCTGGTCCGGGTATCGAACCCGTGGCCTTTCCATTTCCAGTGAAACGCTCTATTAACTGAGCTAAACAGGCGTTAGACGTCAGTAGAGCAAACAGGTTTTTATCAGCTGCCACTAGTCTAACACCAACAAGGGTGAAAGGCTTATAATCATAACCTCGAAATGCAAGCCTTTCACCCTTGTTGGTGTTAGACTAGTGGCAGCTGATAAAAATCTGTTTGCTCTACTGACGTCTAACGCCTGTTTAGCTCAGTTAATAGAGCGTTTCACTGGAAATGGAGAGGCCACGGGTTCGATACCCGAACCAGGCGGATTTTTTCAGTCGTGCACCAGTCACTTGGCTGTGTTTGGAGATTTGCGCTTGTCCTTTGTTCCTCTTGTTCCCCTTTTCCAGGGATTATTTTTGTCAAATCAAGCAATATCGAGAAAAATAGTCGACGTGGAATGCTAGGCTTAGGCCAGTCCCGTTACGGAAACATGCACCCGCACAGCACTTCTGAAAACGCGTTATTTCGATAGTTGTGTGCTGCAAACTATGTCGTCGAGGAGGTTTTCTTCTGAACACATTGGAGAACGAAAAACTACTCGCACTTATAAAAATAGACGAACTCCATGAGCTGCGCTTGTTGAGCACGTACTCCGCAGACTGCGGCAGCCATGTTTATTATCGCTTCACACAAATGCGGAAAGGGCGATCTCGGGGTACTTTTGAAGACAACGATGACGTGATTTCAATGATTTGTTCGTCAAACGTAAAAAGAAATTCTCGAATAAAATACTATTACGGCACGGAACCCGAATTGCTAGCGTTTCACGCGTCAATCATCTCTCCAGACAATAAGAATCGTACGGACCTTGTAAGCACCAGGCGGGGCTTAGCGGGGGGCAGCCTACACCTTCTCTACCTAATGGCTTGAATATGGTTCTAAAGAAATCTTTTTTGCAGTGTTCTTTCAAGGAGCGCTGTTTTTGAATATTGCGTAAAAGAAGCAAATTTCCACTGGGAATAGTGTAACATATATCATTACCACATTTTCAGGGAAATTAGGTTTTGAAGAGAAGCCATTTCACTGTCCGGAATTCGGCGAGTTCCGGCCAAGTACCGCCATTTGTAATGGAGTACACGAGTGTTACAGTCAAATGGAAGAAAATTCGGATCTCTGTGGTGAGTGTTTTTTTTTTTTTTTTTTTTACTTCATTGCTGTTGCAAATTGAGTCCTTTTAACAGTGCGTGAAAGATCTCTGTTTTCATTCTGGGCAAAACGGTGAATATACTTGACCTTACGTCCGGACGCAGCCGACGCTACGCGCTGAGGCGACCAATCAAACTGTGCTAAGAGCGCCAGTCACTGGACCTCCCTTTTATATGGTTGGTTCAATGATACTAGAACATGTACAGAAATATGACCTGGTGCGTTTTTGAAGTTGTATGATTAGTCCCATCAGCTCGTTCTGTCGGCTGCGTCTGGACTTAGGGTGAAATGAAGTGTAATAAAAGGAGACAGCGGAAAAATACCTATCACGTTTGTGTTGAACGGTCATCTTTTTACCTTGGTAATTTGGAGGCGTATGAAGTGGCAGATTCTATCCCCCACTGCAAGCGTTTCCAGACTCTACTAAGCCTATCCGCCTTCTATCCTCCTCGACAAGGAGTACCGCACGCCTGCGCTCGAGCAATTAATCTGCGCGGGAGATATTCACCATCGTTTCAAAAATTTTCTCAATTTCGCTGTGACTCAGGTGAAGGACGGGGTTAAAGTTCAATAAAACATACCCTCCAGGCTTGTTTCGTGTGGAAGCAAAATCGGATATTTAACTTTATGAAGGTTCAAGTCACGCATAACAATAATAATAATAATAGTAATAATAATAGTAATAATAATAATAATATTGACAAATCGTTTATTGAGCAATAGTTGTACACAATTTTGATCGAAGGCCCGCATAAGCGCGCGAGCGCTTGTGTGCGGGACCGTGGCAACCCAACAGAGTGCTCAAAATAATTAAAACAATTGTGACACAAACATTTTTGCCAAGAACAGGCTACATATACATTGTTAACGCAGGCAAACTGGACAACAAAAGAACGAACATTATGTATACACCTAAACAGGACGAGAGAACCACTCCTTTGATTTCTGCTTCGCGTCTTACAGAGACGCCAGGTCGTACATTTCTTCCGGAAGTTTATTAAAGTAGAATGGAATATAATATTTTCTTAAACGCTCCCGTAATTTGTGTTTACCATAGGAATATAAAGGGTTTCACAATGTTTCATATGTTTCTGTCTGTTGACTTTATACTTGAAATCGTTAATGTAATAATATTTTATTAAAACTACATATTCTCTTAATTCCTCTACTTGCAATATTTGTAGAGAGGGCAATTTTTCACCCCTATGAAGAGTTTCAAATTTTGAGCCATAGGCCTATCTGTAATTCTACATATATCCATAGACCTATCTGTAATTCTATATATTAGTCTATTTAATTTTTTCTTCCGGTTTGCTTATGAGGGCAGAAAACTGTACATATCGACATATCCCCCAAATAAAACAATCAACCAGATTAGAGAGAAATACACAAGAAACGATCTTCATCTAGATATTTCTATTGTGATAAGTGGGTGGCGTACGCCAAACAGTTTGTATACCCTAAATTCGGGCCGAAAAAAACTAGTTTGTTTTTCACCATCGACACGCTTTCCAGGCCAAACCAAGTTTTTATCATGCCCAAAGAGCGCACAGCAGAAATTAGCAAGTAGCTGAAAATAAGCCATATGTTACTTGTAGTTTGGCCACTCATGAATATCTCCTAAAACGTGGACTCAATTCAAATATGTTCTAAGATAACATAAGAACATTTTCAAGGAACCCAAGAACGAGGAAATGCGAAAGTTGACACCAAAAGAACAGAAGATTAACGTCTCAAACAAAGCTAAAACTTTATTGCGGACAGAACCCTTCTATCTTATCTTTTCTTAATGTCAACTTTTGTAATTCCACAATATCGGGCTGCTTTAAAATGTTCAGAATACACCAGCTCACTTTGCGCTCTTACGTTTTAAACACTAGAAACTCAACAATGCGTCATATGTTCGCTTTTTTCCTTGCAACATGTAGCCCCAGAAGCATATTTGCTGCAGCACCTGATGATAACCGCAAGTAACATCACAAACAGCTCTGCATTTCTCACGTGGACATCTGGTTTTCTGCGGCCTGAGCAAATAATATTTCCTCTGAAACTCAGCGGCTACTTTCTGACCGGAATGTCGCTGGGCCACACGTTCCAGAAGATTTTGGAACCAACTCTCACGGAATACAATCTATCCTGTTTGAAACCGTGGACCGAATACAATATTACTCTGAGAAGGTTTTACCCTAACAACGGAAACACTGATCGCCCAATGAGAATAGGACGAGCAGCGGCCGTGACACTGCGGACGCATGCGTGCGGTAAGTACTCTTATAAATTTTACCTTAACGTTCTCGGTGGTTTTGTGCTCGATAAAAACAAAAATTACTCTACTATACTGTAATTAAACATATCTTTTGAAAGAGAGACCTAGCTTGGTTTGGTCATATTTAGCTTCGCAACACAAGGAGACAGCCTAGACATTGTCTTGTATCTGATCGGACGGTTTGCACGATAAAATTCGATAAGGCAACAACTTATTTACTATGACAATTAATTGACGATATTTTAAATTAACCATTTTGTGCAATTAATATTCAATCAGCACGTTCCGAGAGAAATTCATTTGATAACTCATACTGCTATTTTGTTTCTTTTCACACTGGTGCAAAATAGCAAATAACTTGGTTGAGAAAACATAATTGCGTAATACATTCATTTTATCTAAAATTACTCAGTTAAGAGTTGTGCTGTAGGGATGATACACTAAGTAAACAAATAATGTGACCTAAGTTTCTGCGCGTAATAGATTTATTACGTACATAGGCTTGAAATAAAATCTCTGGTAATATGTAATAGATAAGCTAATACAAATGAAATGAAATAAAATGAAATATAAAAACAAAATTTGCTTCTTCAATGTATGCCACGTTTTTTATACACCAATCCTGGCTTGCTGTTGTCTATAAAAAGCAGTAACAAACGGTGATGCGTTATTGAAGAAATAAAAAAACTGAATGTGCAATGCTAAAAAGTTTTCAAATAAGAGTTAAGGTGACGCAAACACATTAAGTATGCATCTGTTGCTAAGATTTTTTCAGATTGGGGATCTGCGTTGATTATGTGGCCGATGATGAACTATACCTAATTAATACCTGCGTGTGCCACAGGAGTGCCGTTCCCCATGTATCATTCACGGCTAAGAATTATAAATGTGTCGAAATAAAGGTCTGTATAATCTTGCAACTACTGCTTACATCTACCTAGATAAAGTTGTCTCGCGGTTTCGTGCAGCTCCTCCGGCACCCAGTGAAATCCAGATCATCTCAGCCGGACAAGAAGAGCTCAATTTACGCATCGTGGATCCTATTAGCTGGAATGGATTGCCGCTCAAATATCACGTTCGATGGGAACCCGAAGACCCACGAAGTGGAGTTGCCGGAAACCTCGAACTTGACATACCGTCAACACGGCCCTACGACCCGGATGGAATGAGGGTAACCCTGTCGCTAAAACCTGGAGTAAGGTACAGGTTGTACGCTTCAGCAGAAAACAGCGCAGAGGAACATAACCTCACATTTCTGGGTCCGGCAATTTTTCGTGTTGTAGCCACCATCCCGAAGGGTGAGTAGGGCACACGCAAAAATAAAGCAGTAGTCGTTTTCTCGATAACATAGTCTTCACTTTCCAAAAAATGCAGGAAAATAGTTTCGTTTGAAGTATTGATTTATAGCTGTCAATGTGTTACGCGATAGAGTATAATGGTCAAATTTATAGTTGTTTCGAAATTTAAGCTGCGATGAAATGAAACGCAAGCAACTTCACCCAAAATTATTGCTGGCAGAATCCTGCTATTTTATGGTCTATGCATAGCAAGGTACCACAAAAAGACAGCCGCACAGTAGCTATTTTGAAATCAATTGCGGGATCTATTGGCAATTAGAAAACCGCCTAAAGAAGGGTTCAGTCGTTTGCGTTTGAGTACGATCAAGTGTCATGCGCTTCCTTGCATTCCATCAATAGGCTACGCTCGAACTTCAGTTTTAATAGCAACCATATCGCCATCAGCAGCCATAAATGATCGTAACGCAGTCAGTCGACACGGGAGCCTTTCAAAGGAACTTCTCTTCCTGCGGAAATTAGGAGCAGCCTTTTAGTAAATTTAAACGACGGCCGGTGGCGTGGGACGACCGGGAACCGTAGAGAGTCATGTTTGGCACTCCCATCGAAAGGTGGGCCAACGTTTTGTAAACTAAAAATGTCATGACATCGGTGGTCAAACAGACTGAAGATAACTAGAGTAACCTAACTTTCCTCTGATTATAACGCGGCAACGCCGGTGATGTTAATGAGTGAGCGAAAATAAAACAAAATGGAACGCGTTTGCTCGAAAGGACTGCACACGCCTTCCGCACATGTGTCATCAGCTTGTAGGCACACTTTCTTTTCTTTCGGAGCATTGATTTTAAAGTGCATTCACTTGCTTGATCCGGTTCGCGTGGTTTATGTCCCTCGTTAGATATACATGCTGCTAAGAAGAGGCGCATGGGTCGGTCGTCTGCAAGCGTTTGCAAGCTTCGCGCAGTCTCTGCCCACTATCCACCTCGCCATGCTACAATGCGCGCATGCGCAGGAGCCAGTAATCTGCGCAAATGTTCGCTATAAAATGGCGAACGCTCTCCTTTGTTTGAGTTACCTCTCTCTTAAATCTAGGCTCTATCTTTGTTTTCAGTAACGTTTTCTCAATCAATGTGCTACACGCTACTCAATGAGTAGCATGGTTATCTGAGTCAGCGCTTGTCGTTGAAACTATCAAGGATGTTATCACTTTCCGGAGGAAACAAGCTACGCCTTGAAATTTAACAAGGTAGCAAGCATCACTAAAGTGCGCATTTCATGAGCATTCTAGCTTGCTAAACGCATACATCAATTTCCTCACTTATTTTACAGTGAGCGTCTCCATCTGCAGGACACTATAACTGTTATAGTGAAAAACAATACCTCAATTAAGAGAAAAATGAAGCTGCCACTCATTAAGCCTTGCAGGCCGTTACACTTGAAAGATATGATATTTAAATGTTGAAATGAGCAGAAAGTGCCACCATTTTCAGCAACCTGAAATATTGAGCATTTTCCATGTTGCCTGAGATTGTATCGTCCATTTCAGTTACAGTCACTTTTTTATGCTTTGAATTTTGTGTATGACGTCTCAGCTTGTTAGACTTTCAGAGAATTTCTCCTTCTGTCGTATAATGTACTTGTACTGCATTCTCTTTTGTTTAGTTACTACAACTTGTATCACTATTTACGAAGACATGTCAGTACATGAGGTCAACACAAATCAGGCACTGCTTATTTTATTTTTTCAGATCCTATAGGACTCATTGTAAACCCACTTAGCTCTGGCGAACTTTTTGTTAGCTGGAGCGTCTCCGGTCCTGCTGACTTCTTTCGGGTGAGTAAATATATCCCCATTAAAACATCATGTAGCCTATATGAACCTCATCCAGAACTTTTATATGAAAGAGCCAAAACTTTTGCATGCACATTCTCAATGATGAACGCACAGGTCAATTTGACGTTTGGCAATGCTTGTTTACCACATGTTTTTTGTCGGATGGGATGCAGATTGAATTGTTTTTATCCATTTGTCATTAAAGGGATTGTCCGGTAAAATTTTGTATTCAAGAAAACATTTAGACCTCATTGTCAATGACTGTAGGGGCATCTTCTATGACAAATCTTAAATCTGTGTGCTTCCCTGGACGAGTAATTGTATATTAAACCAAACGTGCATAAGTGGCGTTTTTCTCTTCCAGCTTCAGAGCGGCGGAGACTCTGACGTAATATAACTCAAAGAAAGCGCCGAACTGAAGCGAACTTGGATTTTTCTCCTCCGCGTGAAAGCTACGACGTAGTCCACCCTCGTTGCTGCTCTAGAAATGTTCTCGTGAATGAAAATGGACTCTCGTTGTGCGGTTGTCACGCTCCACATTTCTCCGCGAGATTTACAGTGGCGAGTCAAATGAAACGCTGCGGTGCGTCGCAAGCACTGTGTTTTCATAGAGGAATTAGGCATATGATCTGACAATTGTAAGCCTGGTGTGACGTCACATCAGGCATGGCAGCGTAGCCATTGATACTTACGAAATTTGGCACAGAGTTTCGTATAATTATCCGTAATTGATTACAGTAAATTCGGGTGTCGTTTATTAGAATAAAAAAGGGCCTATGTTACTCGTTAGGCTTTCGCCAGGTAACCATCACAAGATCTTAAGAACTTCCAGTTTTCACCGGATAATCCCTTTAAGAGTTTGTATTAGGGATATATTAATTAAAGCACTGACGATATTTTGTACGTTTTATGCATATTATGTGTGTTTAAGATATGGGAGGTTTTCTCAAGCCAATTCAAGTTGTGATGTCCGTTCAGAAGACATTTCATGTTCTGCTATTTCTTCATATATACATTTTTTATGGTGTTAGAAAATTTGGCTGGGTCCAAATTTCCTAACACCTAACCTAACCTAACCTAACCTAACCTAACACCTAGCATCAGCGGATATTTCCTAATATCCGCTGAAGCTACCAGCGCGAACCGATCGGCCTGGGCAAAAGGGAGGTGGGCTCAGGTGCTTGCAGGGAAAACAGTCGCTCATCACTGGTCCTTACTGACCCTTTCGTCCATGGTTCTCTCCGAACTCCTTATTGTGATGTGTTTTGTCACCGAGGTTTTGGTTGCATTTGCTGTCCTGCTCTTAATAAAACTTACGAAACCAGCTGTGTAGAATAAAATATTTTTCTAATACATAGTTCATGTGTTGAATGGGTCATATACCTTTTGAGACTGGTGCGCCCTTTTTACAGGTGAAAGTCGCATCCTACCATGAAAATCCACATTTTGGTATATCCTTCGAACCCAACAGTAATCGAAACAATTATGACGCCAGGAGAAGCTACGTCTCTGTAAGTACACTGCATTTCCCATTAAAATACCGAAGGCATTTAGTGCGTCGTAATAAATTCTGAAGGAAGCTTTTGTGTGCGAAAAACTGCCATCTTAACAAACGAATAACGTGGCTTATCGTGTTCACGCTGTGGTTCGTTCTTTGTCGTTCTTGTTGGGTAATGCCGCAATTTCGTCGCCTGCGGAGCGCTAATAGCATACTTGAAACTCGCAACGCCCAGGACTGCCCTCTGAAATTCGGCGGTCGCCGCAGCGAAAAGAACGACGTCGTGAAGCTTCCGCCAGCTCCGCTGCTTCGTGACCCCCTCGTGCTCCCACGGCTCGGTGTCTGCGGCTGGCACGACCACCGTTAACACATTCACATTACCTCTTTCCATACTTCATTTTGAGCTTAAACGAGCTGTGCAACGATTTTAACGCTGAAAGAATTTGCATCGCCTAATCTTGACATTGTTTAGCCTGTAACAAAGGACACATAACAGATCTCCTTCCTTCGAAATGTCGCGATTCCGCCGCGTAATCGCGAGGCAAAAATTAGAATATTTCCCGACCTGCAGCCGCGAGCGCGGGTCATGAGAACCACGAGGCGGGACGTCAAAGCGGGTCTTGTAAGAACAATAGCAAGTTCTGGATCTACCCGGTTTCGATTGCTTGTTACTAGTTACGTTTGTGTATTAATTAGTATCACGAATTATGCCTTCTTCGTGTTTTCCTTAATTATACATTGCGTGCTACGTACTATGCAAACTTTATGTTGCCTCGGCCTGCATGTTGCCTCGGCCTGCATTCAGCGCATCAACATATTCTGCTTTAAAAAGTGCAGGTTCACGGCGCATTCGTTGCACGTTTTTAAGTCGGGGATAAGGAACACAGAAAGAAGACGAGCGCCGTGACGGTGCACGTTTGGTTAAAAGGTTAAAAGGCGCGAACAAACTGGACGAAAAAGGACACACGTACGACACGGACAGGCGTTAACTTTTTAACTGATGTATTGAAACACGAATCATCGTAAAACTCGATTCCAATCGCCTAAACACATGAAACTGATAAAAATTCATATCGCACATTACACACATCCTTCGAGAAACAAAATTTGTTTGGTTAACAGATAACGAGATGGCATGCTTACGCATTTGTCAGCCGCTATGTGTATACGGAAAGCTTCGACTAGTTCTCTTTCCATTTTCTCATTCTCTTTCTTGATAAATCTTGTGCGCTCTAACAAAGGTTTGGACCCACATCGTTTGCAGTGCTCCGCAAGAAGCCCACCCAAAGTATTCCGTACGACAAGCTTGCTTTCGCGCGCTCTTTCATTAAAACATCGGACGGTCTAACCGATGTAAACTTGGCCGCAAATAAAAGGAATCTCATAGACCACCTTAGTTACTCATTCGGTGTATCTGGTTACATGTTTTTTTGAACACAATACAAACTTTCGTTTTGTCATCGCGGAGCATATCTTTGAGAGTTTGCACGGGGCTGGGAAGACAGCCATCTTTTTTTAAATTGTGGGACACTGTGAAAATATGGTATCACCTGCACTGGCATCTTGTCTTTCTTTTCACGACATTTGTCAACACCCTCTCGTTTAATTTTCTGTAGGAGCCTTTCACACACACTTGTCACTGAGCTCTTCGGGTAACCGGCCCTCGTCAAGCGTGCAACCTGCTGATCAGAGCTGACCGGCAGTCTATGCTGGCAGCTTTTTGTAATGGCTGCGTGAAGGCAGGCGAATGCAATACCCAGTTTTACGAGCTTTGAGTGGGCACTGCTGAAAGAAAGGAGGCCTTTTTTAGTTTGTGGAATATAACTCCAGCACGAATTATCCTTATTAAAAAAGGGCTGTAAATCTATAAACTGAATACTGCCCTCATTAGGCATTTCTCAAATAAAGTTCAGTCCGTCGGACAAGGACAAGATTTATGAAGAAAGGGAATGAGAAAATGGAAAGAGAACTAATCGAAGCTTTCTGTATACACAAAGCGGCTGACAGATGCGTAAGCCTGCCATCTCTTTATCTGTTAACCAAAGAAATTGTGTTCTTGAAGGATGTGTGTAATGAGCGATAGGAATCTTTATCAGTGGCATGTGTTTAGGCGACTGGGATCGAGTTTGACGATGATTCGTATTTCAATAAATCAGTTGGAAGTTGGCGCCTGTCTGTGTCGTACGTGTGTCTTTTTTCGTCCTCTTTGTTCGCGCCTTTCAACCTTATAATCTATATGAACCAACTAGCCCCAACCAAAGTTTTATTGCATCAAGTTTGGTGCCGCTTGATTAGCTCCATCGGGTCGTAGGGTCCGCTGATGCTGGGACATACCATGAGACGGATTATAATAATTGGAGGCTGCCTCATGATCGCCCTTAAAATAGTATTTATTTATTTTCGGAGCTTGCATCATTGCCGCGCATAGACCCCGCGATGAGTTGCACGGTTAGCGAGGTAAGAAGCATTGGCTCGCACTACCGCGCACGAAGGCATGCATTGGCAGTGTCCCGAATCCACCTTTTGTAAGATGTAGTTACTCTCGCGGGTGATATTACGTGATGATGCAGAAAGAGCGACGCTTAACATTAGTAGGTTTGTGGACGCCAGTGTACAAACCTTTCGCTCTGGGCTGATCCCGAGTGCATTTTACAATCCAGCCGTAGCGTCTTTGTGCGGCCCCCTTCTCGTTGGGGTACGAGATCTTCGGCCGCATGTTTACATCGTGCTATTACATGCAGGTATCATAGCCGCCCCTCGCGATTTATTCTCGCTCGATCAGCGACGATCTTCGCTTCCTCAACTCCCGCAAGAACCCGATAGATTGTGCACTGAATTTCTAACAGACAGAAGGTTCAAGCGAACGCATAACGCCCGCGGGCGGAGCTCCTTTGGTATTCTTGAGTTATCACTAACTAATCGGTCAGCAAGTCCACCTAGAAGCGTTTATTCACGCCTGGGATCGGGAGTGAACAGGTGGACGACGAACACAGTCAGGCGCCGCCCCTGCAGCTGCTCTTTGCTTTCTGACGGTTGCGGCGCTGCAGGAAGCAGACAACGTTTAGACCGGCGCTGACTTCCTCGTTTGTTGAAGCGCGTCTGGTAGTCGTTCGTCGACAAAAAACAACGTACCCGCCTCAAGGTGTGTCCCCTCCCCGCCAGCTAAGGCCATGTTCACGTTCGTATAGAGCCGGTCGGGTTCCGACATATGTAGAAAAGTTAGGAGAGTCATTGCTAGGGCCAGCGGAGCAGACGATGGCGGCATTCGACTCCCCAACGCCTGACCCGGCCTGCAGCCACCGCTCCTTCCTTTCGAGGTGCAAACGACGACCTTGCTCGCTACGTATGAAGGGATATAGCGAGTAGAGAAAAGGCAGGTAGCCTTTGTGTCTATGGACTCTTCTTCCAATCGGAGCTCGGCACTGTTATGTCTTTGTACCCACTGCGCAAGAAGTAAACCAACTTGCTCGCCGTACAGCTCTACATCAAAATTGATGGGCGATTTCTTAAAATGCAAGGCTAAATGTATATTCTGAAAACAATTTTCTTCCAATAAAAGTAGTGACGCGGGGAACAATCTTAAGGTAAAAGCCTTATATGTCCCACTACGCGAAAAGACGTCCGCGTTGTAGCCATGGCCATAAAAATGCGTCATCAAGCACGCGCCGCTCAAGGTCAAAGCGGACGCGCCTCAGAAATAAAACACAAAGAAAAGCACAGCAAAGCAGATGCTTCGTCACGGAAGCCGTGAAGCCGGCGGGGCGCCGCGCCTGCGGAGTGGGGTAGCGTAATGTCACCGCCGTTGTGCAAAAGGAAGACGTGACGCGCTGCTTGTAGGAATGCGCTGCATGTAGGAATGTTCTCACATTCCTATATGTAAGTAAACTTAAGTGTCTTCGGCGTGTTTTATTTTATTTGTTTTTAAGGTAGGTAAGAACAATAACTCCTTTTTTTCTCATGCCTAAAACATAGGCCTGGCCAAATCATATCTATCGCAGTGGCCTAAAACTGCCTTGACGGATGGGTATTTTGTATTGCTCTAGTAAGACTGCGAATAGGGCTACTTGGTTCTGACTTCTAATAGAGACACATCCCTCCACCCCCCCCCCCCAAAAAAAAAAAAAAAAACACGAGGAAAGGGAGTACGCCCCGTCCTGTGGGACACTCATCTTGTCCTTGTGCTTTCTTTTTTTTTTGCGTATATTTTTATTACATAATATTATAAATTAAAGTTTTTTTCTTCATTCTTGTTTAAACTACTTGTGTCGACGATGAAAGCAACGCATCAGCATATCTAACCGCTAATATTTCATAAATTGTAGCGTGATAGGGATCGAGATCACTTTATGAAGCGGTACCTTTCGTGGGCCCTTTCCCCCACCAAAAAGGATGATGTAGGGCTTCTGTCATCGATATCGTTGAGAGCTTGAAAAACAAACTCCCCAAATCTTGCTGCGGTTCTAACTGGATTCGATGCCGGGTCAGCTGACTGTGGAATGGCCGTGCTACTATGCACCGATAAACTGAGGCAGAGGAGGATATGAGAGCGCCCGGGAACGTCAGAACGCTGAGCTCTGGTCGGAATGATTAGTGGGTAGACCTCAAGCTAGCTGCCTTTGTGTCCACTGCACTCGTCGCACGCGTTCTATCCTCGAACGCCAACGTTCGACGAGCGCAGTGGGTGCAAAGGCAGCTAGCTAGCTTTTAGGTCTACCCACTAATCCCCCCAAACAGAGCTCGGCGTTCTGACGTCCCTGGGCGCTCTCATATCCTCCTCTCCCTCAGTTTCTCCGCGTATAGAACCACGCCAGCTTCTTGTCGTTTCTGTGGCTATAGATCCACACTGGCTGCTTCAAGGCGCCTTCTTGATGGTCGCAGTTGCAGTCACATCACATCGTACAACCTGTTTCTCACGCCGCTTCCGTTAGAGGGCTTCGGTGCGTGTAAAACAAAAGAGTGTCAACCTCCAAGCAGACAGCTGCGACGGTTCCTCTACGTGATATGCAGAGTACATGATTCCAAAATATATAAAGGTACATTAGGGTCCAAAAAGGTGTCGCAGCTATAGCTGTGAGCGCACTGTGAATCCACACAGGACTGCTCATTTGATTATAATAATTTACATATTATTGTTAACATCCTCGTCCTTTTCAATTAATAAATTAGACCCTAGATTATCAATGCCGATGTCAGGCAGGTTTGGTGCTTTCTGCGATTGTTTTAACGTTTCTAATTGTGCTTCCTGCAGACTACTCCAGCACCGAGATTCCTGCTGAAGCGTGACACCATTGCTGTGGACGGAGTGGGCACGGCATCCGTGCGTAGCGTCATCGTCAATAAACCACAAGCGTCCCAAAATTGCTCGGTAAGAGTAGAAGCCTGCTCTTCTTCAAGCGGATGCAGCAACGCACCGACCACCTGGGTCATGACTAAGCCTATATGTAAGCTCTTAATATTTTCACATTTATCTCTGCTGAAATGTATATGCTCCGCCCACATGCAGTCTTCAGATATTGGCAGCTTACCTCCCGCTCCCTTCCTTTTTGTTAACAATGTGCTATAACGCGTTCAATCCACTATATATAGGCGATTCTAAAGGGTAGGTTTTGATAATTTTTATGACCTGAAATTATTTAAAAAAATATATGTATACTTCGTGTAATTATAGAGGAACCATTTTTACTCTGGGAAGGTAGCTAAAGATATGCGCAGGGTGGTCTTTTGAAACATACACCCGAAACATGTCCGACCCTTTTTTCGTAAAAATGAGCCATGTATCGTCAAGGACGATACACGGCACATCCGTAAAGACAATCATTCTTTAAGTGACACTTGTAGGTGCGACATACAATTTTTGTTCTCCGCAAAACATTTCTGTTTAAGTCTAATTTATGAGTGTCATATTAAGACGTGTTGGCCACTCTCTAATGTTCTTGAAAAATTACATATTTTTGAGGTTTGAATAGGTTTTGGAATTATTATTCTTAATCTTATTAATGTTAGTGGGAGATAAGTATTGAAGCAGGGAAAATTAAATTGCAATTTACTTTGGCCACATTTACGCTTCTACAACTCAGCTGTCTGGTTATTCAGTCGAGGCTAACGCTTCGTAAAACCAAAACTGGCATGCCGATATTTCACCAAATCTGTAAAGGATAGCAACTGGCACTCACAAATGCCAGTACGTCAAAATGGTAAGACAAAGGAAGAGAACAAACAGCAACCAATTGTTCTATATTCTAGCACATACTGGCCTATTGAGCATGTAATGGCCGAAGCTTGTCAAATAAACACTGCTTGCTCCGATAGAGACTAGGTGTCGATTGCCAGGAAGCATATGTGATAACATCAAGCAGTATCATTACACATTGTCCAATATATATTTGTAAGATCACTAGAGCATGTGGATCAGGAATAAGTTTTATAATACTTAAGGGCTACTACTAGTACTACTAGCTACTACTACCACTAGTACTACAACTACCACTACTACTACTACTACAACGACAACGCCAACGACAAAAAGAAGAATCTTTTTTTGAAGCACCCAGAAACAACTGCAATATTCGTTAATGTAACTATTGGGGAATAGTTTTATAATTCTAGCTGCTATACGCATTTTTGTGCGCAAAGTTACATTTTTATTACGGGCGTTAATCAGGCAATACGCTAAATGCGTTGTGTTGTACTTTTGTCCAACAAGCTGAGGTGGAAAAGTTTGAATCGCTACTCCACCATAAGCGATAATTCTCTGAAATTTTGCTTTTCAGTCAGAACCAAAATTTTACAGGATTCATCAACTGATGAAGGAATAATATTTATCTAGAATTTAGTTAGAAGTTGTTTTAAAGAATAAACATACATTGAGATAAATTAAAGAGAATGAAAAGTGATTCATGTTAGGGCTGGTAGGTTTTGGGGGCTTCTGTGTAGTTGATGTCAGAGAATATTTGAACCACTAACGGTATTCTGAGTACTGATTGGCATCCATCAAAATATATTTTTCAGCCACCCCAGAGCCAGTCATTACCGGAGTGTCCTCGAACAGCACGAATTCTTTTAAAGTAACGTGGACCTTTCCCGAAGATGACAGCAGCTATTATGACGGCTTCTTGGTGCATTACTGTGCAAAAGCGTCATCCTGCCGCGAGAGCTACACACATAAGCAAAACCTCTACGCAACCAACCTCAGCGCGGGCACAAGTTATGATATTTATGTCTACGCACGTATCAAACACCTCGATGGCCTCGTCGAGTTGGGGCCCGCTGCCAGAGCAGAAGTTTCAACTTGGAAAGAAGGTAAGCACAAATCATTTTAGCTATTCATTTTTTGGTGCGGTAATAAGTGAACGAAAATGCGGCTTTTTTTTAATTGTTAGCGTTACTAATTAAACAAATATTTTAAATACAGGCTATTACTTCGCGTACAGGCAGCACTAGCTTAACATCACTGATGTGCGTTGTCGAGATTTTACATATTTTTTAGATATTCTGTTGTCGAGATTTTACAAGTGGGCTTTTTGCGTTCATTAAATATGACTCAAATGTATTTATTGTAGGTGCGGTTTGAGAAAACGTACAAGAGATAATGGTGAAGAGACTAAACTTAAAACTTACTGGCTGCTCTTAGACAAAGATTCCTGTCTCATTGCCATTGTTTTTTCATCGGAGCAATATATATCTCCCCCCCTCCAAAAAAAAGTACCTTCCCAAGTGCATATTCATGGAAGCCATTTTATAAATAGGGAATGAACTGATACAGATCCATAGAAAAAAAGTTAGTTTCATATTTTAAGTGAGGTTTCTCGTAGAAATGGCTACTAGCGCATACCAAATTCAAGCTTCAGAAAAGTTTTATTTTATCAAACGCCAAGGAAACTAAAGCGAGAATTATTCCTCTAATAGGCTTTTTATCTACATTTATTTCACTCTGATACAAACTGTAACATTCCCATCTCCAACCCTCCTATCACACTTGTTTAAAAAAATCGATTTGTAGGCTGAAAGTTTTTCGATTACTACGCCAGAACTTTAAAAGCATCGGTAACATAAAGGAGACATTTTCAAAATTACAGAAACAAATGCAAGAACGCAATTGCTCGATTTATCAATATTTAAACTTACCCGTAATTCCAGATGGACTTCTAGCATTTATAAGGTCAATCAATTAAATCCTGGCAACCCTGCAGCTAACAATAAGAAGTGCGGCTTCTTACGATTCAGCACGAAGACAGCAGACAATTATGAGACCAGAGGCTATTTCATTTTAAACGACCAAAATACTTCATAAACATTGCAGCCTGTAGTAGCTGCATGCAGGATGGTAAGCCTAAAACTGAAACATTTATAAGGAAAAGCAACACTTGAATAATATGATTGTTTGTTTTTTTTTTGTTTTTTTTTTTCTTTTCCAAACGAGATAGTTGAAAGGCATAATCAAGCGCCGTAAACAAAAGTATATCTTCGAAAGTAGCAATATCAGCTCATTGTTACGCATGTTACCTCTTGCAGTTCCACTCGAGCCTGTATTGGAGGCTCGTGCTTCCGAAGCAATGTCGAAGGAGCTTGTACTGTACTGGAAATTCATCAACAGCACCGTTCATTACCTGCAGGTGAGTGGCATTGAATTCTGGTGATATTATCAATGGTATAAAAAAACACTCGTCTCGATAATTCTGATAAACCCGGAGAGCACAGAACGCGTCGTGCGTGCATTATGCGTGCGTTATGATTTGTGATACTTGGTTGCGGATACCTTTGAGTGGCTTCAGATGCGCTGCACAAAAACAATCTAGTGTGTTTTCTGAGTTTAGCATAATGCTTAATGCAAGTTTCAATGTATTCAGGGGTGGAGTGTGTGAGGGGTATGTTTCAGTGAGAAGTCTCTATGGGTTCAGTTTCTTACGTGGTTGTGTGTCGGACATTAAATTATTTGGCGCATTTGACGCCACTTGCAAAAGAAACACATCAAGGGGCTTTCGACATTCCACACTCGCTACTCTTGCGCTGATAGGAACCCCTGTTGGTACCTAAACTCACCGCGAGGGAAGGAGGTTCATTGCGCACTTTACGCTATACCTATTGACCGCTTTCTGAAGTTGTGACGTCACACTCCCTCTATATTATCCCTTCCCTATTGAAAAAGGCAGATATGAACTCGGCTTATTGAAAATATTGTATTCCAATGAAGTTGATGGAAACCAATAAAAACTTATTGTTATCCGATTAACCCAATACGCACGATGGGAATTCATATCGGAGCACAATATCCCGATATAGTATGTGGTTATTGGTATACAACAGGATATTGGAGCACAATATCCCGATATAACTTGCGGTTATTGGTATACAACACGATATCGAAGCACAATATCCCGACAGAACTTACGGTTATTGGAATAGAATACGACACCGCGTGCATATTGGTAACCGACATGGACATACTGTGCGGCCACACGATATATAAATATCGGTCGTCGATCACGGCCACAAAGGAGAATACAATATCGCGTGGATAAATCTCAGAACGAATTCCAAGTTACCAACATGAATTACGTCGGCATATACCGCGGACTAGGAGGATACGTAACACAGTATTGATCGCCCGTGAAGCAACATGTGGATATCGGTAGGCCCACATATACGACATCACGTGAATGATATCGTAGAACAGCAGGAGTTACCATACGGCAATACGAGAGAGAACGATATTGGAGGTGGATACACACAGAACACAAACGTTCCGCGTGGCAAACACATCCACATTGATCGAAAGCGCAAGTGTACGTACGGCACACAGTACACACAGCCTCGAGCGCTTGAAATGCTAGACAACCACCAAACCATTCAGAATAACTAGCTGGGACACCCGCGACCTACCTTTCAATGAGAAAGCCCAATAACGACGTGCTCATTGGAGTGATCGTTTTCAAAAAAAAATGTTTATTGAAGTTTTAATGCAACAAAAGTTAGGTTACCGATGTTGGAACCCAAATCGAACGCGATACGTGACAATGTCAGTTCGCACGATAAAATAATGAGGATTAATGGGCTTGACAGGTCACCTGCTTCTTACCCGCACATTTATCGATATTGATCCACCTTTCTGGGTAATCCTACGTCGTACACAAAATCCACAACCACACACGAGCACAATTCACCCACCACTCTTCGTCGCCTGTTTCGCAAGATTCACACACTGTAAAAAACGACGGGAAAAATACGTGCATTTGCGCCATCAAACGATACGTTACAGACTCGTTTTATGAGAAAAGTTTCCATCGTCAACCCGCGCGCGCGAAAGCTCGAGCGCTCGAGCTTCGGAGGCAGTTCGAATTCCGAAGGGAGGCGAGCCGAGAAAGCCGCGAGTAGCCCATCGAGCCAGACAAGCGGCTGAGCGAGCGGAGCGAGCCGCCGAGTGGCCGAATCCGCCGATCCAGCCAAGCCTAGCCAAGCCGCCGAGATTACGCGATTGCGATTGCGCCATTGCGCAGCGACCGCGACCGCGCCAACCCGGCGAGACAGCGGCGATGGCGGGACCGACGGATAACAGCTCGTCAAGTTCGTCGCGCACTTTGCTTGTGGGTTCCAAGTGAAACCAACGCACTTTCAATCGCTTCGAAAGGTACGTATAGACGACTTTATTACTTGCAGCATTGAGTGCTTTGGTATACACAGATCAAAGTGAACACTGAAGGAACACTGAAGGACATGATGTTTTGAAATCGCAGCTTATTTGAACGCATGCGTCCCCTGCTGAAAGCGTCTGGCTGTGCTCTGTTGCAGACGTCATTTCGACTACGTGTACTCTGATGTAACTTCAGTCAGTGTTTACACTCGGCTAGCTATCACTCGGCTTGTTATCTCATGTGCGAAATAGACGTAGAAACCAGCGCCTCGTCTCTTTCGGATATTGAACCTCCAGCCCCATGGCTCTTAGCGTGCTTACCGGCGCAAACCGTTCGACGTGTTGGATTCGTGGGCTCGTTCGAAGAGGCGTTGTTTAACGCTCACGAGTCGCCGAAGTGTTACCGAAGCTTCTCTTTACGAAAGTCGCGATTGACGCTGGGCTCTGAGCTCGTACTTTTTCCTTCCCTGGTAGACTAAGAGTGCCGACCATTCATCTGTGGTGCCGACTGGCACCGTACGAAGTTGAGAAAAGCTAGCGAGTCTGTCAGGTTTTCGTGACGCCGTAAGGTAAAAAAAAGAAAAAAAAACGCGTTTTATAATTTTCAATTTTTTTTTATTGCCATGTTTTATTTCAGTCGCCGCAAAGTAAATCGCGGCCGTACGTCGGTTGACTCCCGATTACTGTCTCTGCATCGTAGATTGCCTCACCACAATGGTGCCTCTTTGGTGTGATCTTATTCTGATATCGTTACATCTTGCTTTTTCATCTTGGCATACTTCTAGACGACCTTCTACACGTTGCACTCCTTGTCGACATGTCGCTGGTGTTAGAGACAAATCTGAAGTCGCTGTTTGCTCACTCCTTGGTGCACATATTTCATGTTCAACATCAGGTATCTGAAGGAGGCGCCATGAAACCCTGGAGTTTGTTTAGAGGTACCTCAACATACTGCATTCAAGTGTCGTTTTGTGTTATAGTTTCCTACAAAACCAAATTGCACTTTGTTCGTAATATACCCTATAACTGTTCACTACAATTAAAGTTGCTATGAAACATTGGCCACGAGAGGTGACTCGGCCAACGCAGCCTGAAAATTCCTCGCATAATTTTCTTCATGGGTCATTTTGGACATTGACAAATTTTCTTGTGAATAATGAGTGTAATGCACATGTGTTCTATTTTTCGTACAGGTACTTCAGTTAGATAAACCCCAGCAAAGGCAGCAAGACAGTCTCATGGGGTCACACCAAGGATAACTGCATTCCTGCTCGAGTCCCGAGTCTTGTCACCAAACTTCACTGAACATAATGGTACATTCCCTTTCCTTAACCTTTTCTTCTGAAATGTGTTTTCTTTTTTTTATTGTTGCTTTTTTCTATTGAAAAAGGTGTAGTACAACGTTTAAACACCCAATGTTTTTTTGTTTTTTTTATTTCTGTAAAATGTGTAGTAGATCGTTTAAACACCCAAGCGTTCATAAATTGTCTCTGTACCAGACAAGAGGATGTCTTATACTCTGTTTCATACTTAGCGTGCAACGCTGTCAAAGGTACTAAAGTGGTGCGCATGAAAAAATAGAAAAAGTGTTACTCCGCGCGTTTCGTGGACGAATGGTAGAAGGCGCTGCTCTGGCGATAGTGACGTCTCAGTGGCCGTGGTTTGAACCCGTTTTACGCGCAAAGCTTTTTGGTTTTTTTTTTTTAGACATACTTTTCGTGCAAGATTGTGCGCATTGACGAAGTGCATATTTCAGTTCCTCCTCCTTGATTTTTATTTATAAGTCGCCGAGAGGCCAGATTTCTACCATCTGGTCTGCCGCTTTGCAAGTGTTATTTGCCTCCAGCACCGAGTTATATTTTTCTTTCGTGGAGCGTGGAATGAGGAATCGCCCTGATAGCGGCCTCGTCCCAAAATTTATAATAAGACGTTAATCGACAATAGTTGTGGCCTGTACAGTTTATTTTGAAATAGCTGTCAAAGGGTTGGAATCTCCCTCTCGGAGGACTTGCGATGCACCTTCAGGCGAATGGCATTCTGTGTGAACTCGTCATGCTTGATGGTCCCCGTGCTCAAAACTTTCACGTTGCGAGGTCTTTGCTTCGGGGACGCCACCTTGCCAGATAGGCACTGCGCCTTGCACTTGGCGACAGTACAGGGCACACTCCAGTGTCGTTACTGGCCGTCTCCAGGACTTCACGACCGAATTCTCCGGGGGATGTGTTCTTATACTCCCGTACACATTGGCGATCATCTGCTTGCACTCTTTCAATATTTTCGCACAACGAATCTTCGAAAACATCCGAGCAGGAGAGGTACTTGAGCTTGCTGCATAAGACGCCATCTTCTCAAAACCAGCCAGTGCCACTCAACCCGAAAACCCACAGCGGCTGCCACACAGATGAACACGAAAACAATTTAAGGTGGTTTACATTATCTTTTCCTTTTTCTTGAAAAACATTTGTGCTCCGTTGAAATCATAACGCCACTATCAGTTACTAGCCCCGAGGAGGCATATTTTCCGACTTTTAGAAACTTTTTTGCAGGGGACGCACTATCTTATGGGGCGAACGTAGGCACGGTCAGCAATGCAAACCAGTGCGCTAGCTTTGACTGCATTGCACTCTATGTATGAAACAGGGTATAGGATCGCTTCAGACGGGGCAACCTTTCCAGCAATTTTGGGGCTGCTGGCGGTTTGTTCCCTAGTTTTCCCTAGATCGACACGAACTGCTGAGATTGGGTCCGGCTCGAAGCGGACGAGCAACTTTGACTACTCGGAGATGTTTGAAGCGGCAGCAGCCAATCAGGAATGCAATATTTTCACGTGACACCCCTGTGGTCGTGATGATGAGAACTGAGGACTTAGTTCTGGTTTGAAATGGATCATTTTTGAAAATAAACTGTTTCAAAAAGATGAGTTAGTATTCTCAGCGCAATTTAAAGACATAAAAACATGTTTTTAGGATATAACTGTGCGTGTAA